TTAAGCCTTACTGTGAAGAACTTCACTTCTATTATACTATTTTAGATGCGGTTTTTTGCGTTTTTGATTGCGTTTTAATAGAGTATGTCAACAGAATGTACATTAAGAAGGGATTTTTCGATATTCCCCCTGCGGGGGAGAGGGACAGGATTAAGGCTTACTGTGAAAAACTTGGCTTCTATTATACTATTTTAGATGAGGGTTTTTGCGCTTTTGATTGCGTTTTAATAGGGTACGTCAAGAGAATGTACACTAAGAAAAAATTTTTCGAAAAATTTTTCCCCACGGGGGAAGTGTTATACATTTATAATAGATACATTTTGAGCCACAACAAGGCGTGGTGGGGTCTGCTAGTTATTTATTAAAACAGATTCATACTGATTAATATGTTTGAAAGCGAGATCTACGCTTATGTCAATTCGAGAAAAGTGAACTATAATATATTGGCTGACATCAGTTTTATTGAAATGTTGACAATGTCACTATTTTTTAAATATTTATATTTGAAAAGTTTGTATACAGAGGAAAGTGCGTAATGTGTTTTTTTTTCAGAATTGTGTTTTTTGATAGATTGCTATTACATTGATTTAAAAAGCCGGTCTGATTGCGGTTAGTATTTCATGTTGAGCGTTATATATGTAACCAATAGTGTAACAATAAAGTAAACAAGCTGAATCGCTAAATGTTAAAATTTTGCGATACATTAATTGACTTACAAACATATATGTAATAAATTTACTTTTTATCTGCAGGTCCATGCGAGGATGAACAGAAATGCAAACATAAACCTGGAACAGAATGTATCAACTACGGTATTGGGGATAAGTGTGTTTGTACAGATAGAAGTAAAACGTTCGATGACTACTATAATATGTGTATAGGTAAGTTTGTTTGTTAGTTTACAGTTATGTAGAAGAAAAAATTGAATTGCAAAGTATATGCGTATTATAAATAACAGCCTTTCAAACTAATTATTCACATGTCTTGTTATACCAATTTTGAATTTCAAATTNATAATATTAAATTATCGACACAAAATATTACTTCTTTTTTGTGAAAAAAACTGGTGTTTTAGACGTGGAAAAACCAGATAACAGATGCTACTTCCTTTCAGTAGAAGAAAAAATTGAATTGCAAAGTATATGCGTATTATAAATAACAGCCTTTCAAACTAATTATTCACATGTCTTGTTATACCAATTTTGAATTTCAAATTGAACATACATATATAAAAGCGAGACGCAAATTTTGTCTTTTTATATACGAAAATGTACAGCTCAATTCGATTTTTTAGGCTCAGCGTAAATCTAATGCACAGCTTCGAAAATTAATCACCTGTAATGTGAGGGCATTCTATCTGTTAACAAAAGCATTTGAAGTAGACTGGCCAGATTTGCGCCATAATAAAAATGAGTAAATCCATTCAGGGGGATTTACGTGTGCAGTCAAGCGTGATACAGGTTGACAAAACTAATCGCTCATCGCTTACGTAACACTACGTGCGTAGCATCAGCTGTTTTTATTTTAAAATTGTAAATTTTTAGCCACTGATTATTAGTAATTATGATTTAATCTGTTATTTTCATATTTTTCATTTTTTATAACGTTTTAGTTACTTTATTTTCCTGTAATTAGAGACGATGCAGCTTTAAGATAAACAGATCAGGTGTAATTTGCCAATAGATGATCTCAACTTTTAACGATTGTCGTCAATTTATTGTAAGAGAGCAATGGCGAGATTTCTTGTCGCCATTGCTCTCTTCATCATTGCCATGATACTTATTTCAATAATTTTACGACAAACAAACTTTGGTTATCAAACATCAAAAAAATCTCAAAGAATTTCACTTCTGCTATATATGGATGACTTGAAACTGTATGGAAGCAGTAAAACTGAAATCTGCTGTTTGACTAACACTGAATTTTCAGTACCGATACCTGGATAGAGTTTCGACTGGACAAGTGTGCAGCTGTGGAACTGAGGAGGGGCAAAATTACTGAAAGTGAGGGTATTAATATGCTAAATGGTCAATCCATAAATTGCCACCAGCCAGTAGCCTATAAATACCTGGGCATACTGCAGCTGGACAGTATTAGGCACGAGCGAGTGAAAACTGTCTTTAGTAGAGAGTACACTTAGAGGATTAGAAAGATTTACAAAAGCAAGCTCAATGGAGGCAATGCCATCAAGGCCATGAACACCTGGCTATACCTGTCATAAGATATACTGCGAACATTATAAACTGGACACAAGCAGAATTGGACAATCTCGATAGAAAAACAAGAAAACTCATGACCATTTATTGTTCGCTACCTCCGCGCAGCGATGTAGACCGGTTGTATCTGCCTAGAAGGTTGGGTGGTAGAGGCCTATTACAAGTAAAACAAACTGTTGAAGAAAAAAAGTATGCACTGGCAGAATATGTCAAGGACAGTGGGAGCCTGCACTGATTGCTGTCAATAATAAAAAAAAACTCCTTAAAGCACAGCAGAGAAAGAATCAGTATAAGAAAACTTCATTTTACAAACTAGAGCTGACAGCTGGCGTAATAAGGCGTTACATGGACAGTTCCTGGACAAAATTGAAAGAAAAGTGGATAAAGAAAGAACCTAGTTATGGCTTACTAATGGATCATTGAAGAAGGAGACAAAAGGCTCGATTTTTGCTGCCCAGGAACAAGCAATCAGAACAAATGCAATCAAGGCAAGAATCAAAAAATCCGCTGATGATTCAACATGCAGACTGTGTAAAGAAGCTGATGAAACTACAGTAGACCGTCGTGTATCCGAATCAATTGGGGACTGGGGTGGTTCGGATATCTTATTTTTCGGATAACGAATCATGTACGAAAAAATATATTAACGTATCCGATGTTGAAATTTTTCTCTGTTGCGTGTCGCTTCGCGTTGAATTTTCGTCGATGTTAAGCCTAACGAATACTATTGTATTGTTAAAAATTATTTTTTTGTTTTGTACAAACAAAATAAATATATTGAAAATATAAAAACAATAAAAAATTATACTACAGACGTTAATTTAGTATCAAAAACGTAAAATACTTGAGTAGCCCAGAAATAGTTGAAGATTGTAGCGCCACAGCACTAGCGAAAATTTAAGTTTGCCGACTGGAATGCTTTCGGATAACAGACGTTTCGGATAACCAGCTTTCGCTCTACTGTATTGATCATATTCTAAGCTGCTGCAAAAAAATTGCACAGACAGAGTATAAATAGAGACACAATTCTGTGGCCAAAATGATCCATTGGAATCTGTTCCACAACTATCATATACCTATAGGAAAAAATTGATGGGAACTTAATTTCGAAAAAGTAGTTGAAAATGAATGTTTCAAAATACTTTGGGACATTCGAATTCAGACTGATACAAACGATTGTAGAGACAAAGTTTAGAGACTGACGGCGGTTTACAGATCGAATAGACCGCTGTTCAAAAAAATTTCATTGCAGAGACGGCGCACAGTGGGGCCAAATCCCAAAAAGCTGGCCAAAAGTCAAAAGCGTTATCAATTTGGCTGAAAGTCAGTACTCGAAGGTTTTCGGGATCGCTGATTACAAATCCGAAGTCAAAATTTGAAATAAAAACAAAATGGCGTATTTAACACGAACCACTTTTATAGAAAAAGTACAAAATAAATCTATATATTGTTTAATATGATAAAACATACAATCAGTTGATTAAAAGTTCATGCATCGTCATCCGAAGAATAATTTTATTCACAATCATATGATTCAACTTTGAAATCGCTGGAGCTTCCCGTACTTGTTGGTATACGTGGCGCAACTAACAATAAAACTGATTCTGGAAGCAACGACTTTGAGTTTTTTCGAGGTAATTCGCGCAAACACGAAATAAACGGATCGGATATTAATAATAGGCGTAAAATAATGTTTTCCATTGTTTTCACTCGGAAACTTTTCTTGCAAAATCTTCTCGAAACTTTTTAATGTATTTATTAGTAGACTTTTGAGAGTCTTCAGATATCGATCCCTATCGCCCTATCGGCAATATCGATGAATTTATCACTTCTGCACCATGAATCAATATCTTATGTATCGAAGTTGGCATGCAGAACCACGGATATAACTGCACAAAGTAACGAGCTGTCTGTAAGGCATAATCTTGAAATTCTATGAAATCGATTTCGTGGCCACACGAAATTGTCTGCAATATGACATGGAAACGCTTAATCAAGTCCTTATCAACCCCTGTAATAGCAGCAGAAATGCTTAAATTTTCGAAAAATCATCGAGCGGTATTCCCATCATTCGAGCTATCGAAACCAGGCTTTGGTTGATCGACTATTAGACCCAATTCTATACTGAAACCCTTCTGTATATTCGTTTTTCAGTCTTATTTGTTTATTTTCTTTATCACTATGCGCTTGCCACAGTTTGATTTCAAGCTTATATGCTATATGCAATCAACATTCAAAACATAGACAAATTCAAGAAAAAGAGCAAAACATTCCGCATCGTTAATATACAAAATTCAGAAAACTATGTTTTACATTGCAAGAACTTGCACCAATGACACAATTGCAGCTAGTTGCAGCTAGTTTTAATTTTTTTTATTCAATAATACTTCCATCTACAACATGCGATCGGTGCAATCGCAGAACTCTACAGAATTTATGAACTTTTCTCTACATGTTTAGTTTTCTGTTGTAATCTTCCGTTCATTTTCGTATAAATCATTCGTTTACTGTTATCACATAAAGTATTATTATCAATTTTGTGTTACATAATGATATTGTACTAACTTGCAGCTGCAGATTCCATTTTTTAAATTTAAATTCGATTGATTTTTAGAGATTTGGCACCCTCTTGAATATAGCGTAGAAATCTTTGCTTACTGCATGACGCGTCTAGCTCGATTGAGGGTCCCCTTTCAACTGAACTACAGTAGCAGGTATAAGAGATAGAGGGCGCTAAAGTCTAGAATTCGACCTTCGGACACTTATCCAACCTAACCCAAGACTAGAAATTACCGGAACTTAAACTCTATTTTTCCACTTTTGACCAGCTTTTTGGGATTTGGCCCCACTGTGCGGCGTTTCTCGCCTGCCACAATGTAGACAGCGATTAGAAACAAGTTATTTGACCTATTTTCTTGACTCAAACGACAGCAGGTTTAGAGGGCTTTTCAATTCGAGTGGTAGCTTTGTTCGTGGAAACGTTTAGATAAAAACAGATATCGTTCCTTTGACAAATGTTGTAAACGGTACGAATCGACAAAATTATTCATTAATTAATTCCTTGGAGCAAAAACAACAAAATTAAATACTTTAAATTTGTTTTAAATGTTCCAATATCGATATTCAAATGGGTGAAGACTTAAAACTTCAATTAATGAAAATCAGATGCATTTATTTACAACTCGAATATTGTGTCGGTTATAAAACGTTAATGCATTTCGGAGTCATTGTACTGTTAAACAAACGAGACAATTTTAATAATTAAAGACATATCTGAATATATAAAATTACTTGTTCTGACTGACTGACTTAGTCACAGATTCATCATTGCCCAGTGCAAATCGCTGAACCTAAAGAGGTGAAATTTGGTATACAGTTAGGGTACGTCATGCAAACGCACACAAAGAAGGGATTTTTCGAAATTCCCAAGAGAGATGGAGAGGGAGAGCATTAAGTTTTAACCAGAAGAACGGCTTCTACTGTACTATTTTAGATGCGATTTTTTGTTTTTAACTGTGTATTAGTAGGGTACGTCGTGGGAATGCACACAGAAAAGAAATTTTTCGATATTCTTCAGCGGGGGGAAGAGAAAGAGCATAAAAGCTTAATCGGAAGAACGACTTTTGTAATTGATTTCACACTTTCCCTTAAATTGATAACATTTC